AGACAGTAGATCATTATTAATGGCATATTTATTTTGAGAGCCCCTTGGTGACTCCTTTCAGCAAATAAAAACATACTAAGAACTGACTGTCCCTGTGAATTGTTTCCAATTCAATGGCAGGTACCTCCGATTTTCCACTGACATGCTGCAAATGAATGATTAAATGAAAGTAAATTCCACTGAACTAAACAGTGGAAAGAGACACCAACACCAAAGGGACTGGAAACAGGCAAGATGCAGCAATGAGAAGAGGTGACTCTAAGTGCTATAAAAGACAGCACCCTTTTGTTGCAAGGGAGCATTATCTCTTTTGCAAGGGCCAGAAAGGAAACATCTAAATTAAAACTGGTTTTGAAAAGAAAACAAAGGACCCAGAATGTCATGCTACTTGTCTAACATGGGTAACCTAGTCATGAACATAAAGGAATACCCAGAGAAGTCATCTAAGCAAGTGGTAAAGAGAAGGATATTGTTGAACCAAGGATTTAAAAATTCCCCTGTTCTCTTAATAAAATAAACTGAGATCCAGCACTGGAAGGAACTATGTTGTGATACAGCTTGTGTATATTTTACCTTAGTTTAGTTCATGAGATAGGATTAGGTTTGCCCATAAATTCCTACAGGATTGGTCTTAATTCTGATTTAAGAATGACTTGTGAGCCATCAGCTCATTGAGAATAGCATGCATCAGCAACTCCACTAAATACTTGTTGTGATATCAAATCACCAGACAAATCTTTATCTCTGGTTATTGAGATTTTAGTGTATTGCCCAGATGCACACCACGGGAGCAGGCAGCAAGGCAAGGTAACACATGCCAGGATAACAGCCCAGCAGGCACAGCTGCCTTGAAGGGGCACAGGAAGCCAAAATCGTTCTATAACACAGCAGCAGTGACTGGGAAACCCACATTGTCTGCTCTGTCAGACCCAGGGCTGGCATGGGTTTAGGGACCATGAAGTTAGGGATTTCTTGCCTATTTTCACCATGTTTGACCTTTGTGTTTCTTCTCTAATTCTGCCACTTTCAGAATGACAACAATCAAAACTCAAATGCTTTAAAAGAATGGCATCCAGTCTGAAATTAAAAGCTCCCACAAATTTCTTTCCCTAGTGAATGTTCTGCAATATTTCCTGCTAAGTGTGTGTTTATAACCAAAATGCTTGCACATAAAGGTGGCATTTTTGAGCTCCACCCTGGGCAGCATATTTTTCAGCTCTTGAATTTGTTCCAAGGGAACTTTTAGTACCACCTTGAAGCCAACAATGGTACACGAGTGCCAAGAGGGATTTCAATTTTTCCATTTAAAGAAACAAACATTTCACTGCTTTCTTTCCCTCAAGCCAGACTTACTCACAAAGGAAATTTCAGAGGAATGTTTTCAAGAATATTCATTCTATGAGGGAATCAAAACCAGTGATTGACAGATGTACACATAAAATCAACAAATAATGCTGTTTATTGCTGTGAGAACAGTCCTGGTGTTTTATGTTTTGATTCCTCCTCACTTGTGATTACATTTCCCTTTTAATAAGTACTGCTCTGTACTGCTCCCCTCTTTACAAGTTAGCACACCCTGAGAGGCCATTACAATACAACAAAACCAACTTCAAAGAACTCCTGTAGAAAAGAGACTGATTTTAAAACTTCCTCTTCTGGATTTTACAACTGGGGTACTCCAAACTAGTGATTAGAGTGATGTAAAGTTTTATTTCTCTTGTATTTCTGGACAGGTGAGCACTGGAAGTGTTGTCCTGAAAACAGGAGTGGAAAAAGTGAAACCGAAGCATTAAAGACAGTCAAACATGACAATTCTGAGGTACTTCTGCCTGAGTTCTCTAGAGTGCATGGGATTAAACTAAACAATCAAACAGCTCCCCTGCAAACCATTCAGCACTTTGAGACTGCAATGGCTGTGTCAGATCCTATCACATTTACAAGTGGTGGTTGCTGTCTACCAATATAAACTCAAATTGCTGATAGAGCAGCATTCTGAAATACCCGTGATTTATTGCTTCTGCCATAGAAGCAGAGCAATAGGCTCTAAGAGAGTAGTCACAGAGAAGAGTGGGAAGAAAGAACAGATACTGTAGCTAAATTTGATATGGCTCATGAACTAGAGCTCCTATTGATGTGGGACCAACTGTATTTTTATCTAATTACCAAAGCATAAAAGTCTGATGATAAACATACATACTCCTGTAGATAAAGGCAAAACCCCCTAATATCTCCCAATATTCAACTCAGGAATATTTTCTGTCCTTTATTATGAAAGGTTTTACAATAGCAAGTAAAAATAATGAATATTTGAAAATAATTTGCTTAGAAATAATTGTAGGGATTTTAACTTCCATTAACAAGAGCAACCAGGACTATTACACTGTTCCATAGGGTTGGGGTTTTTCATACAATATCTAGCTGTGCTGCAGATCTACTCACCACAAAATACTGCACAGGCTAGAATTTTGCAAGGATCTGGGAGGAAGTGGATGCAGACTCCCAGATAACCACTGACAGTGACCAAACACACAGAAACCACACCTGGCTCAGGATGGCCTTGAGCACAAGGACTGGGACAGCACTTGTTTGTCTCAAAGGAAGCATCGAATGCAACTGCTTTGTTTCTCTACCCTTCCCTAGCACCTGCTTCTGACATTAGAGAGGCAAGAACTGACCAAAGCCCACTGGCCTCCCCCTGTGGCTGTTATTGCCACAGTCAAACTGGCACAGGCTGCGGTTTTTCATTAAGGACGCTGTAACGTTCCTTATTTTTTTTTCTCTGAAAGAGAAATAGGAAAGGAGGTAAGAATTCTTATTCACTATTCAACTTTGATATTGATAAGTACAAGTCTACTAAGTCATCACAATTCTTCCATAGAAGGGGATTCACTTCAATTCCAATCAAATCACTTACTATCCAATTTCAATTATGTTTAAATGTATCACCCCATAAGAAAACCAGCCACGAATCACTGAGCAGGAATGGCATAAATCAGCTTGTTCAGCTGCTTCAGTACTTTGGTATTTAAGGATTTTCAACGTTTTATTTTGTTAAAGAAAAAGGAAAACATTTTAAAGGATTTGTTTCATACTGCTATTGTTCTCAGATTAGCAGCAGCAGAAATATTTCAAGAACTGATTAGGAGGCTGCTATTACAGTAAGCAAACACTGGAAGAGTTACTGCAGCTTCAATATAATCCTTAGGGAATGTTTCTATTTGCATTCAGACATGGCTAGGTGGATATATGACTGCACATTTAAGAGGCTAAGTTGATTTGTCAGTGTTCTATTTTAAAATTAGTCATTAGAGACGCAATTTCTTTTTGTGATAATCAATCAAAACCACAATCATCTCTTCAGGCAGAGATGTCAAGTGACCATTTTACCCAACCTACACAAATTTCAATGGGCCACTCAAACCACCAAGTTACTGCTGTTGAATGAAACTGCTCCACAATCTCCTCATACAATTATTCTCCTGGGAATCAGTTCAACAGCTGATAAATCCTAAAATTTGCAAAAGCATTCTGGGTACTTCCAGCAAATCTTGGGAAAAATTGAACCGCAAAAACCAGCAAAAACCAATCAACCAACAAAAAAAAAACCCAAAAAATAAAACGTAAAGGAGGGACAAGGAAAGTTTATGTTTTATGTTACACACACTTGGTTGAAGAACCTGGCAGTAAAGCAATTACCAACATATCCCAGCAGAAAAACTCGCTCCCACTTCTCATCTTCCCAGTACAACAGAACATGCCGAAGTGAAAGGGTGCTTGTGCCTGAAAATTTGTCCATTTTTCAAAACATGACAGTCACCTAGTAAAAGAAGTCTTAAATATATGATAGGCTGAACTAGTTAGTTATTAAATACTAAGGAAATGGCAGTGATTCTTTTGTGATAAATTTCCCACACTTATCTGATTTAATTCACTGAGCAGTTTGCAACTGAAAGACAAAGTGAAAATATTTAGAAGTGATCTCCACTGTCAAAGAGACTTGTACCATTTACATATTAATTGGCCTGGCATTATTTTTTCAAAAGACAGCAGAAACTTCTGTGTTTCCATTTCCAGAGACCTAAAGCCCTGCAAGGTGGTTCAGAAAAGTGACAATTTCTGTATGCTGTGTAAAACCCAAAATGTGCTGGTAAGGTGCAATATAATTTATTGCCAATTCTACCTAGGAAGCATGCAAAACCAAAAGGCAGCATTGCTTTATCTTAGGAAGCACAATTTTTTGGCCATCCCACCTTGGCACAGGGATTTTATTCAGATAAGATGACTACATATAAAATTGTTTTTTTAAATCCAAACCAACTTCTTTTTTGAATAAAAATAGTTTAATTAGGTTTCTGTTGGCTACATTTAAATCACATTTAATATTAAATTAATCTGTATTAAAATATGTACAAAGAATGATGTAATGATACATAACCTTTATGTATTTGTTGCAATACATGAAGACATTGAAGTCACAGTGAATTCAGGCAAACACCTCAAATAGAAGAGCATTCCACATGTACACATATACACAGCCACCAGAGCTCAGCAGGGTAAGGCCAATGAGCCATTTCATATGACCAAAGTAACATGAAATCTGCTGTGGAACACAAAAAGCTACTCTGTCAATACTTATAGTGCTACACTCTACACAGAATTATCGTAGTACTTCAGCCTCCTTCCAGGAAAATTAATTCCCAGAGTCAAGCTACAAGTGACAATACAGTATCACAAGGCATGACTAAAAAGGTTTTATTGATACTGGCATTCTCTGGATTTTTCATTTGATATTTGGCAGTTACTCAGTATTTGGATTTTAAAAACCCTGAAATCTTAAAAGTCCTCTCACAAAACAAGTCTTTCAATTAAAATGCAAGACTTCAATCCGGTAACACTAAAAAACATTTTCAGCATTCTAGAACTTCAAGGAGAGTTTCAAATAGTTTGTTTAAAAAAATAAAAAGCATTCAAGAAAATGTTAAAAGTACAGTTGAACAGTAATATAAATATGGAACTCCAAAACCTATTTTTTTATCAATCAACAACTGAACATCACAAGAGTACATCTACTAATAAAGGCAGGCTTGATAAATAGAAATCCAATGTACAAATACCAGGTGACAGTCTTTGCCATTACCAGGGTCAGATATTTAGAAAAAGAAGTGTTCAATATCTCTGTGTCAAAATCCTTTTGACCTCCCAAAAGGCATAAAAACACCAGTCCAGGCCTGTACCCAATACCTAAGATACACCAAAACTGCAGCACCATGAACTTTGGAACATCCAAAATCATTTCAGAGGGTCTCCTCCTCAGCTTCCAGCACAAGAAGCCAAAAGGCACCACTGCATAATAAGAGCAGAAGACAAAACAATCAGTAGTCAAAGTGTAAAGAATGAAACAAATGGATGTAGAAATCCTGTGAGCCATGCATGCCTCTGCTGTCTAACAAGCAGGTTTGGACTATTGTGCAGCTACTTCACAACTAAATTTTTATATCCCCATCTCTCTTACAGGTAAAAACTACACACCAATCTAGGCTACAACCCTAACACTGGGAAAGAAAAATGCAAATTCTGCATTAACATCAAAGCCAGTGGCACTGCTATGGACAAAATTCCATCCTGAGCTCAAACAAGACATCAGAATTAAATGACACTAATAGAAGATCACCTACAATTAAGCTAATGTTGCAATTTCTCTCACAACACAAACTGATGCTACTCTCCACACTGTAAATTAAAAAGCTATAAAAAGTTAGGAACAATGACAGAGAAGCTCACAGATGATGAAACTTAAATAAATCTCTTAAGGATGAAAAAATTTTGCTTTCACATCATCTGCCTCCTTCTCCAAAGGAAAACAGTTGTCTTTGTAAGAAACTCTTAGCTGCAATTTATATTTTCACTAAAAGTTGCCATATTTTTAAAAAATATTCTAATATAGAATATATATACACATAGATAGTGGCAGGTTACTTGATTTGTAATAATTTTTAAATTAATCCTTACTGTGTCTTACCTTTAAGACAAGAGAGAAATGAGTGCATCCAGAAATTTGCTCCGATCTTCTGTTTTCAATTCAATTACTAAAATATGAAATATTTTATTACAGGATGCAAATAACTGAAAGAGATACCAGACATCACCAGAAGATATATCAGGTATCTTCTCTTGAAGAACAATAAGCCTGAGTATACTAATTTATATTCCTACCCATCTTTAAGGAGGAAAAGCTATTTGGGCAAAATACAAGGGACATTTTTTATTTTGTACTTAAATACTAGCAAACTAATTTTTAGGTGCTCACTCCACAACAGAGAAGACACTTCATATATCTAAGAATATTTCTGTGTATGTTCAACATAGATATTGTTTAAAAAGCCTGTCTCTTTATTAAGCATGTGCAAGACAGGCTGATTTCACTGCTTAAGTGTCCACGCTTGGTTTGGCTGCTAAATTTAAAGATTTCACGGATAACATCATGGACTGTAAAGCGAAGTGGACATGTGCAGAGCGTTAGTGCATGCAGAGTACAGTCTCAGAGCTAGGCTGGCTGCTCTGTGCTTTGTGCAGCAGGAGGCAGCGCGGGCCGAGCCTCCCGCGGCCGCGGCAGCGCCGCCCCCTGCGGGCCCCGCTACTCACTCGACATCTCGAAGTGGTTGTGCAGCGTCCGGGACCTGGTGCTCTCCGCAGCCTTCTCGAAGGCTCTTCCAAAAAAGCTGAGGCAGGAGCAGAAATATGAATGAGTGCCACGGGAAAGGATGTTTACTGAGGTAGAAGCAAGGAATTTTTTCCTGGCTGAGAGGTGGAAATGGATTCCAGATGTTTTTACAGCTGCTGCATATTCAACATACACCTCACTTATTCATGTGCAAAAATTTTACATTGGAGGCTTTTAGAAATTAAGTCATGGGACATATGGTAAACTATTTCCCTCTTTTAAGAGGGAAGGAAAAGAAAAATCCTTGCAAGGATTGTAAGATCTTGTTTAAAGGTCTGTATCCTCCCTCAAAGTACCTCATACCTCCTGTATGCAGAAGGTTTGTCTTTGAGAAGGATACAATTCAAGACAACATAGTCAGTGTTAAATAGGTACAGAAAAAATATATTTGCTTCAGAGACAGGTTTAGAACTTGTAAATACTTTGCTTACTTCTTTTTGTCTGAGCTTTCTGTCTCTGGAGGAATCCCCACCATGATCACAGTTCCCTGTTCAACATCCATGGGTGCAGCCATGACCAGGGGCAGCAGCTTGCAACGCTTGTTTTTTGTCTGGAAGTCAGAAAGCTTCTTGGTTAAACAAGGCTCAGAAAGCAATTTAATATCAGCTCTCCACGTGAAATAACATATAAATAGTCACCTAAGGATACAGATATTCTGCAGCTCAACAGAAGGTGGTTTCTTTACAGGATCTCTTAATACACTGTTCCTTACAATAAAAGTCACTTTAAGGACTAATAGAAATTTCAGTGATGTACTCCCTCAAAACTTACAAAATTACACAAATGTTTAAATAGTTATTATCTTAGTAATGAAAACTCAGTGCTATGAAGTCACCAAATAGGAATCTTCCCTAGAGCAGCATTCACAAATATGCTAAAATCATCCAATCAATTAGCAGTAAAACATTATTAATAGTTTCCTATAATGCTTTGAATTATCAACTGCAAGTATCTACAGAACATTAAGTACTACACCAGCCAGAAGTTTGTGAGTCAAATGCTTTTGATCTACTTACAGAGCAAACGAATGACTTCAGTAAGTATTTACTAAGCAGACATAGAGACACTGGTTTGGAAAACAGTTTCACATCTGGTGTGCCCTAGAAAAAGAAGAATTATTTAAATTACAACCCAAGATGATTCTTACTCAGTTTTATTATCTACTACCAAGTCTAGAAGCTTTGTGTGGCTCAAAGAACACTAATAAGAGCCAGTACAATACAGGAGGTTGAACTCACCCAGCTTTGCAGCAAAGCCCTCTCCCCTTTATGAGGGGTGATTCTGCCATCGGGAAGTTCAGAGCAATGTCAATATTGACCCATCAGAAGTCAGCACAGTACAGAGAAATAGGTTCTTTCTTACAGAGTAATTCTTGCTGTGCCAAGCACTTAAGGAAACTTATTCAAGGATGATACAGTCAAAAAAAGAGAGTCAAATGAGAGCTCAAACACAAAATTCTGACCTCCATGAGGGAGCAATAGAGAAATGGCCCCTGGGAAATGACAAGGTTCGTGCAAATACAGCTGGCCACTGTCTGCTGAATGGCACGTAGCTGCTTTTTGGCTAGGTCTAGTCCTTGGTGCAGCTTGTCCAGGTTACCCCTGCAACAAAAAGAAAAAAAAAAAACACTTCCTTAGTAAAACAAAGTTTTTCACATAAAAATTATATCTAAATACTATTCACAGAGATACTTTGATTTTTTTCTTCAATAGCTTATGAAGAAACAATTCATATTTTCAATCCATAATCCCAATATATTGCCCTAAATAAAATTGCAAAATACTGAAAAGGCATATTTTCAGTACCTGGAGAGACTGTCCAAAGCCTTAATGAAATTAGTTGTTTCAGGCCCCTCTTTTTCTATGTTCTCCATGAGAGAAGTTGTTGCATAAACTATGTCACTTGCTGAGAACTTGTTCTTAAAGCCAAAGTGAATGCTGAAAGTCTGAACTCGCAAATCTTTCATTCTGCAAAATGAAATAAACCCAGAAAATGAGTAATGATAATTAATAAACATTAACATAATAAATAAACATGATCAACATTGACCAGCTGTCTTCCCAGTATGTTAATCTTAAGAACATGAAAAAAACCCTTATACTAACATTTGCAACAAATCTAGTGTTATTTTTGTCAATCTAAGAATCATATTTTTAAAAACATATTAGATCTTCTTCATACATACATTTGCACTTAATTGAAAAGGATTTTCAGACAAAACATTTGTATTTAAAACAATTTACCCAAATTTGTTTGCAGATTCTTCAATCATCTCCCGAAGATTTTCTTTCAATGACATGTCCATGGAATTAAACTTCTGTTTCACTTGCTTCAAGGGCAAACTAAGAAAAGAAGGAAAAGAATCATTGACAAGTATGCCAGAAGAAACAAGTATTTTGCCTTTTTCTCACAGGACTTTCAAAATTATTAGATAATTTAGCAAGGTTAAGTCTAACTTGTATGCATTTGTTTTTTCAGTCATTGAAAAGTGAATGCAAGGAAGCAGAGGTTACTTTACTGAGCTGCCATTCCATAAAAGCATACAGCAAGTGTTCCTTGTAAACTAATACACAAGTTGTGTAACTCTGAGACACTGCCACCTATTCAGAGCCCCACAATCATATTTAAAAAACAACAGCTTGAGTACTTGCAAGCTTTATTCTGAATATTTTCCTGTAAGAAATTGAAAAAAAGGATCCAAATTTTTAGAACTCACCCCATGTCAGCCAAAAACTCCTGAAGCCTCTTCTGCCCTTGTACAGACCAAAGCTTGAGGCTGGCAGAAGTGTAGCAGGTGTTACAGAGACTTTCATAGAGAGACCAGTGCTGGTACAGTGCCAGGCGTAGGCTAAGCAGGAGTTATGGCAAATAATTGCAAACACAAATATCCTCTGACCCTACAAACTCCACAAGTAGGAAAGGATTCAGCTGCCCTTACATATTGTATGCCTGTGCTGCATAAAATGCAGTGAGAAGCTCAGGTGATGGAACCCAAGAGTAGCAATGTTGACTTGTAACCAGTTCTGGAAGGTTAAGCTGAATTGAAGCCCCACCAGCAGCTGAAAGAGGGATCCATGCACAACAAAACATTTGGATTTCCCTTTATTTTATTTTATCTCCATTCTCAGGGATTTTTTTTGCCCTAGATAAAAACTCCAGAGGAGTTCACCCCAGACCTTCTTTAAGGATACTCATATTCAAATGCAATTCTCATGCAGTCAATGGACAGAGAGTTCTCCTCATCCTCGTTGCGGTGGTTGTGGCGGGACACGTGGCGCTGCAGGATCCCGATGTCGGTCACGTACTTCATTCTGAAACAAAAACAAGTTTCTCACTTCACCTTCTGCCTGGAAATTTTTGTTCTTGATTACAAGAAAATAAAAATGCTTCTTAAAGTCTGCAGCATGGAAATCATGGATACAGTTTTAAACCCTCCCAACTTGTTAAATAATGTTTTTTCAGTACTCATCTTTTTACTCAGGCAATTAAAATTAAAAAAATAAAACAAACCAACCCAACCAAACAAAAAAACAAACACAAAAAAACCCAAAACCAAAACAAAATAATAGACGTGTAAAAAATAGACTGATCAAAGAAATCAGTTACTTATTACACATATCTATTTTAAATGTCCATGTATTAGTAAAAAATTAACACCAGAATTTAAGTCCACACATGTAATACTAGAATTCTGATCATATCTAGTAGGAAATAAAAAAAAGAGAAAAAATATCTGAAACTTGTTATCTAAAACTGTAAAGGAACCTGGAGGATACAGAACATAAAAGTTTTTTCCTTTAATAAAGCTATATCAAATTCATGCTCAGGTAAACTACTATTAAACACAATTTCCTCCTAGATCAGAAGTGATTGATTTATAATTTGGTGAAAAACAGACTTAGCTTAAAAATTCTAAATAACAGAAAATAATTTTTTGAAGATATAGATTCCTTTCTTTGGAAGGCAACAGAAAACATTCAGGCATTAATATATTTAATATCACTGTTAATTACTAATATATGTTATAATTATACAGATATAATTTTTATATATAAAAGATATATTTTGTTTCCTGATTTCTACTAATTGCTGCTAGTTAATCCCAAAAACTAAATTTTAAAAGAGAGACAAATAAATAAGAAAGAATAACAATAAGAAAGATAAAAAAAAAAATTTCTTACTGAGTGATTTTCTCTTGGACCCATTGATCTGTTAGGCCAACAATAGCCCACCTAAAATTTATTTTGAAAAAAAAGAAATAGAAAAAAAAAAAAGGTTAAACTGACAAATATTCTATTAGGGTAAATTATATTTAATCCTCTAAGTAGGTAAGAGGACAAATCAAACATTGTTTAACAGCAGTACAGAGAAGTTAATAACAATGTTATCTATTATTATTCCCTCTTTTGTAAACACACATAGTACCATTCTCCCTTTTTCCATGTAAAATCAGTTGTTGCTTTTAATTAATTTACACAGATGCATCCTCTACTTGAAAACAAGCATCCACTCCCAAAAGAAACTGGAATCTCATAGTGAAACCAAATAATTTTGGGAAATCTTGCCTGCCTTGTGGCAGGTTTAAGCTTCCAATCTCTACAAAAATGATGATGGAAACCTACCACAGCATATCATTCAAGTCCTTAGACATTATCCATGCCAGATCAAACATCACCATTGCAGACTACAAGAGGGAGAAGCAAAAAGACAAATGAACACATGACACAGTTCACTAAACAAATAGAACAGTTCAATCTGCCAAGTACTAGCACATATTACTAAAGCCCAAGAAAGCACCCTGGAGTCTGACAATCTGCCAGCTTCTTCCTAAGATATTAAGTAGAAAGAAAATTATTCTAGACAGCTCTGTAAACTTGCATTACATAGAAAGCAAACACTTAATAAAATATAAATAATCAGATAGGCCAAATGATAGAAAGAACAGTTTGATGTACTAAGTGCTGTGTTTGAGATATCCTGACACTTTGAAAGACAAACAAGCTCCCTACATGCTCAAGTATTTTTGTGACAATATTTGTAAATGGGTAGATACCCTTGCAAAGATCTAAAAAAAAAAAATCTATAAAACAAAGTTAAACTACTTGTATATATATGATGTAGTTTATATATATAACAATAAGATACAAAAATAGTGAGATGCAATAATATTATTATATTGAATAGTATTATTAGATAATTATGTAATTGTAATAGATAAATATAAAATTGGATATTGTCCAATTACCTTTACACTGTCATCTTAAAGTTTTATGGCAAACAGAGTTTATACTTACTGAGGTCCCATGGTATTCATATTGTTCATAATCAAAAAGAATTTCTCGTCTAAAATGGGGAGAAAACCCAGATTTGAATAAGTGGTGAACTGGTCATTGGAGCCAATTAAAAAAATAAGCCAGAAATGGTGATTAATATTTAAATTTCATTTTAGCAATTAAAAATATTAAACTTGCACTAGAAATTGTTTATCTGCAAGGCAACTAGACTTTAGTAACAACATGGAAACCACACTGAGATGCACTAAAAGCAAAAAGGAAAAATTTTTTATGTCACTATTCCTTAAATTCCATTTTATCTGACTTGTTCCTGCTCATTCCTATTTACTGTAGCGGGATTGTAAAAGTAGGAAACAGAAGGAAAAAATTTCACCCTAAGACAGACAAGATAAGAATATTAAAGCTGTTTGAAGTGAGCCAATGTACCTGTTGCTAATCAAGTTTAAAATTACTATTTAAAATTTCCTCCATTTAAACACTTTATTTTTATACACTAAATATCTCTCTCAATGTTCTAAACAAAATTGTAACTAAAGCATCTTGCAAATCACAGCTTGATATCTTTTTTAATCAAAGAATGAAAAAGACAGAAGCAACACAAAAAAACCATTTACACACCTGCGTGCTTCCCATTCTCGCCTTTGTCGCCTTTTCATCGTCCTCTCTATTACCTCCTGTAAATTAATTTCCAGGATATTAAAAAGCTAGAAAAAAGATTCTAATAGATTAATAGATCTAGCTCTCTCAATTATTAAAATTTAATTGTAAAAATGTAATTAAAATTTTCATGAAAAAGATTTCTTTTCCTTAAAAAATATATTGCCATTAACAGTATATAATGTGGAAAGTATTATCAAAAATATTTCCAATGAACACACATAAGATCTTTGTGAAATGTTTAACAGATCTTAGAAAAACTTTTGTGTATTTGTAAATTTCTTTTGAATTGGACAGCTTCTTTGACTTAAATAGTGCCCTTCTTATATTACTAGGGAAAAAAAGTACAATACTAATGGGAAGATAACAAAGATAACATGAAATGTATATTAAATCTAAGGATGTCCTTATATTTAGTTGTCCTTTAATGTTGCTGGTCTCATGCCTTTGTTTGCTTCTATAATATAAATAGAAAATAAGCTACAAGTAACATGGCAAATTAAATTTCATGTGTACACTTAATATACTTTTGTTAGTTTACTGCTACAAACACAGACAAAATGCATTGCTAAACGATTTGTGAGCTTGTATTTTCTCAAACACATTTTTTGTAAAAGGAGTTCATATCAAAACAAGTTCTATTGCTAGACTGCCAAGCCCACAGCACATATTAAGAGACAGATCTTTCCAGTTCATTGATTATACAAAGAATTATACATAAGTAAGTTCAAAACAGTTTTTTTTTTTAATTTGGAGAAAATATTTCTGTGTAGTTCAGATAAATAAATATCTTGTTTATATGAAACTACCTGTTGTAGTAATTATTTTTAAATCTTGCACTTGGATTTGTGATCTAAGGGAAGACAATTTTTTAAACTCAAATATTATGATGATGTAAAATATATGCAATAGTTATTTTTCTTCCTTTCAGAACACAGCAGTGAAACAAACCTCTTCAAAACGTCTGCGCTTCTCATGGGGTTCTGAGCCATCACTTTCATTCTCTGAGTCCTCTTCCTCCTCCTCCTCATCTCTGAAGATGTCATCATAAGCAGGAATATCGAGATCATCATCTTGCTTGACTAACAGCTTAATCTAGCAAGGAGAAAACTGTATTTTAGAGTAAGTATCTTATTTAGTGAGCAAAATGCAATCTTACTTAGAAAAGAAACCAAAAATTCATTTAGGCTGTATTAATTCCTGGCATAACAAAACTTTGGTTTTTAATGCAACTCCCGTACTGATTTATAGAAAATAAGAGTAAAAATCTATATTCCATTATTAGAGCATTACTGAAAAAATTATCATTTTAATGCTTGTTAAAATAAAATAATTTATGCTTAATACTTAAAATTCTAGGTGCTGCCAGATGCTGAGAAATAATACACGTTACATTCTGGAGGGATGTTTATCCTCTGATTTATGGCAGTTTGATTTATAGCAACAACATTAACAGGTGCTTACTACTGACAACTACCACATTGCTAACTTTAGACATTTCACTAGTGGAAAAATGATTTTTTTTCTGGTCATGTACATTACTACTGCAAATATTTATTTATTAATGCTGCTTTCTGACCTACAAGCTAATTTCTAACCAGTTTTGCAAGCACAGAAAAGCACTACACTGCTCACCACCACACTGTGGGGAGGCTTTTATTATGGAAGCAAAGTTTTACCTGGGTGTCATTGTAAACATTCACTACATTGATCGGTCTGTGACTGTCACATACAAAAAAAAAAGTGTCTTCTTCAGGCTGCAAGATTTCCAGGAGGTCTACATTAGCACCACAATTAATAAGAACAAAGTATTTGAACTGCAAACAAAAGCAGAAAAAGAAAAGAAGCTCATTACTTAAATTGCCAGAAAACATGGAAAACTGAAAATATGCTTACAAAACCCACAGAGCACTCATCATTGCCAAAACTTCTGTTTATTTTCTAATATTTGATGCCTCTGAGGCAGATTTTTTTTTAAAGCAAAACACAAAAACCTGCACCTTTTTATCTCAAAATGTGTGCAAACTCCATTTGACTCTATCAACACTACAGCACATTTGTTGGAGGTGATGTTAAAAACTTGACAAGTTTATTATTGGTATGTTAAAATGTAACGAGCTTTAAGAAACCATAACAATAATAACAATAAGTTAAGGGTTGACATTCTAAATTGGGAAAGGAAAGCAGTTTATCTTTACAAAAGATGAGCTACAGCCCAAAAATTTTCCAGTATTTTTTCACCTGATCTTTATGCTCCAGAAAGGCAGTTTCAAGCTCTTGCCACCCAGCCACTGGCACGAGTGTGTATTGCACGTGGTCACACTGAAACAAAGCCTGCAAGGAAGCAACAGCTGTGAGCAGAGGGGAGGGGAAACAGCCTCTCTTACAATGCTACACCAGGCTGAGTCTATTCTATACAAACCCTTAAAATAAAACCACCCCAAATGACAAATCTATATGAGCTCTGAGATTATGACTCCCCAGTTTTCAGTGCCATAACTCATGGAAACCAATGTTACAAAAGCAGATTAAAGCTTCCCCCTCTCCTTAGTTCACACCCATGTATAGGATCCTAGGGCATACATATTTTCTCATACTGTCAGCTTGCAGTGATAATGAACCAAGACTTACTTGGAGTATTTTACAAGCACATAATGCATCAACATCTGAAGCAACAAGAAGAAGAACACGCTGTAAAAATAACAAAATAATAGTATGAATAGGTGCCAAATAGACCATGCTGGTACATGAAATCCATGGAACACTGAGACACCAGAAATTCAGACAGAAATCATCACAAGCATAAAACAAGATTGCTTCTGAATGGACCTGCAACCAAAATTTGGATATCTGTCAATATTAAAAACAAGCAACTCCACCTATACCCAAAATGTGTCAGCTCCTTTAGGGATAGGTAATTACTGTTTCCTCTGGACCTCACATACTTCCACAGTTTCACACCTAGTCAAGCCCTACAATTATTTTCATAGTGTTTAGAATGGCCTTCGTTTTCAGCACAGATTTGCAACAGTTTTAACTAAAAAAATCTGTAGCAAAAGCAAGGCAACTAGGGAAATAAATTCATTTAAATCAAGGTTGGCTGGTATTTTTTTGGGGGCGGCAGGGAGAGGGTTGGTTGGTTGGTTTTTTGTTTGTTTTGTGAGAGTGTTGTTTTAGGTCTTCAGGGAAGGGTGTTTTGACGTTTTGCTCACAGCTGGAGAAATTAAGACAAATGCTTTAATTTGCACAGTCCATAATATCATTTCCTTGGTAGAAATGTTAAAAGACTGTCCAATAAAAGCTTCACCACCTTACCACAGTGAAAGGAGTTAACCAAGCCCTGCAAAAATACAAGCAGCAAACAAATGTGCTACAAGATTGCAGGAAAAACATTAAAGATAACAGAAAACAGTATTTAGTGTCTGGGCAAATAACATCAAAATGGTTATAAAGATATTTTTTTAAATGGTTCAGCGATGTCATGGTTAAGCCTGAGATCCAGAGCACACAAGAACACTTTTGCGGAAGGAGGCGAACACTGAGTGAAATCCCCGGCAAAACCTCATCACGCTGACGCTGCTTTGTCCAGGGTTCCCAAGGTAGGGAAGGGGAAAACACCCGGGAAAGGGATTTTAACCAGCCGGCTGACGGCCGGACCCGCCGCCCTCAGCGCGGCCTCCCGGCCGGTGCTCCCGCCACCGACCCCCGCTCTGCGGCCCCAGAGCGAGACCACCGCCGCCCCGGAGCAGCGCAGCGCCTCAGCCACCGCGGGCACCGCCGGGGACAGCCCGCACCGACCCTGCGCCGTGAGGCGGCCAGAACACAGAGCGGAGAGAGCCCCAGGGGAGGCGGCCCCGCCCGCCGCCGGGGCGCCCCGGGAGCCACTCCGGCCCGGTCCCGGCGCGCTGCCCGCACCTGGGTGGCGATCAGGTCGTAGAACTCGCGGCGGCAGTCGGAGACGAACATGGCGGGAACGGGAGCGCGGCGGGAACGGGCGGCAGCCGCGGGCCGCGCCGCTCAAACTGAGCGCCAAACCAGCGCCGCCTCTCATTGGTCCGCGCCTCACGCAGCGCTGGCCAATAGGAACGCGCCCACCCCGCCTCTGCAGAGCGAGATGCCAAGTCCTTTCCTGGGCCTCGCCAATGGAATGCGGAGAATGCGGTGACGATACTCGCTGCTGGCCAATCCCAAGAAGGCCTCGGCCGGAAGCACCCTGGCCTGGTCTTGTCGCCGTGTCCGCCATCTTTTATGAGGGCAAGCTGTAAGCTTTGCCATTAAAGGGAGCTCGGAGAAGGGGCAACAGGGCCGCATCAACACCCAGTGACCGAAGAGAAGCCTAGCAAGCAGAAGAGACTCCTGACGATGATCGCGTCGGAGGGCGCGAAGGCCCATCTTCCGCCCTCACCCGCAATGGCCGCCCGAGTGGGCGGCGCCGCGCGGCACGCTGGGAGGGGCGGGGCCTGGGTGGGGCCCGGCACGGCCCGTGAGGGGAACGAGCGGCGCTGGCCCGGCCCGGCCCGGCCCGGCGGCCCCGAGGGAGCGCCCGCCGCCGCCGCCGCCATGGTGAGAGCGGGGGGCGGCCGGGAGCGGCCGCGTCACGGCGGCGACACTGCAGGAGCCCTCAGTGGGTGCTGTGTCGCTTTGTGTGCTCTAGATACTGATGATTGCGTTCTTCTCTGTGTGTTGTTTTTCCCCCTCTAGTTCTCTTTTAATATGTTTGACCACCCCATTCCCCGCGTGTTCCAGAACCGTTTTTCAACCCAGTACCGCTGCTTCTCGGTATCCATGCTTGCCGGACCTAATGACAGGTCAGATGTGGAGAAAGGCGGGAAGAGTATGTGCATGTTTTATTTTGACTAATAAACTGTTAGAAGAGTGTTTTTGAATAGTGTCAAGTCTTGCAGCTTTTGGCCAAGGCAGCAGGAATATTGAAAACACGGTGACAGAGTGCTGAGCACCCTGGGCTGGGTTTGAGGAAGGAGGAGGGGTCATGTGCCATGCATTACTCGGTAACTAAAAATGATTACCGACTCGGGGTTTATGAGTATCAGAAGGAACAGACTTCATCTACAAAATTTCTTCTTAAAATCTTGTATCTAGTGTGAGCCATGGAAGTTTATGATTGAGGAGTTTCTCCCCTGCACCGTGTTGCGCTTTTTAATTTGTATAAAGAAAGTCACTTAGTTTTCAAGGTGTCAGACTAATGCTATGTTGTTTTGAGTTGGGAACCCTAACGAATAAAATTAGCTTTGGGAAAGTAATTCTTGAATAATAATATTGTAAAACCTTGTCTTCTCTTTTGTTTTTTCCCTGATTGTAATTCTGAAATATCCACATTGCAGGGATATTTGTCATGACTGATTCTACTGAACTCTCTGTCTAAAAAATAAATTTGAAGATTGTAGAATCTGCCCTTTTTTTTAAAGAGATTTTAGAGAAAGGAAGGATAAAATTGCGTGTTATGTACTCTTATACAGATGTACTTTTCCTAATTTCACATTCTTATTCATTTCTGCAGTAATTATGCCACCATCAGCTTTGGATCAACTCAGTAAGTGAATGCATTATTCTGGAATAACAATATTAGAAATAGGAGCAAATGTGTAGGCAAATACCACAGTATTTTACTTATTTATTTAAGTCTTAAATCAGTACTGTGAGAATAATTAGTTTAAGAAATGTATTTTAAAGGTATTTTTTCTGTCAGAATTCATGGGGCTTTTCTGCCTTCAAGCACAGACATATGAAATATTGGCCTCCCTGAGCATTTAAAGTTCTGAGTGCCATGCCAACACTGGAGTTGTACATCTGCTTTCTCTGGTATTTTGAGCAGTTGGGATATTGGTGCGAGGGGCCCATTCTCTTGGTGATTGATCTCTGAAAGCTTCAGAGCTTTCAGAGGGGCTTTTAACAAAGCAAACTTTTTTCTCCTTTCTCACTAGGCCGCCTTAATATTACTTACCCCATGCTGTTCAAGCTGACCAACAAGAACTCAGACAGAATGACTCACTGTGGAGTGCTTGAGTTTGTGGCTGACGAGGGCATCTGTTACCTTCCACACTGGGTGAGCTGCCTCATGCTGGACTGTCAGAACCTGAAAAGTAGGATTAGGGAGTTGCCAGGCTTAATATTAAGGACGTGAATGTTTCCTGACAGTGCCTGTCTCTGCTGGTTGTGTTCCTACAACAGCCTTCAGTTCTGGCTCAGGCTTCCTTCTGCAGAAGTTTAACTTAGCAAAGCAGACTGCTTTTAACGTTCACCTGACTGTTTTTCCTGAAATTGAATATACACAAGAGCTGATATACACAGGAGAGAGATTTGAAAACATCAGACACGTTGATAGGGCTGTGTGTGTTTGTCTCCATTCTTGCAGATGATGCAGAATTTGCTGCTGGAAGAAGGAGGCCTGGTGCAAGTGGAGAGTGTGAATCTGCAAGTTGCTACTTACTCAAAATTTCAGCCACAAAGTCCAGATTTTCTTGACATCACCAATCCCAAAGCTGTGTATCCTTCCTATTCAATTATGGAATAAAGGAGAAAAAATTTGCTTCCAAATTGGAATGATGAAACAGAGCGAGCTTGTCTTACGTGGCTCATACACTTCCAGTAGTACATGGCCACTGCTGCCCCTTCTGAAAACAAAAGGGATGCAGAGCTGATGTACAGAGATGTGGTCAACTGTTGGAACAAAGTGTGGTCTGAAGAAGGAGGAGTGTTGGCTTAAAATCTAATGAGTTTTGAGTCCCCCTTTGAAGAATTTATATATCCTAAAATCCTATATGCAGTACTGATGGCTTTTAAACCATGTTTGAGAAACTAAGGATTAGTGATCTACAGTATGGTGATTTTAAGGCTTTGATATTTCACTGAAAATAAATATTTCATCTTAACATACTGCAAAGACTGGAAAATGCATTGAGGAACTTCGCCTGTCTAACTACTGGGGATGTGATTGCCATCAACTACAATGAAAAGGTACAGTGTAAGGTTGAGGGTTGTAGACTACTATTAGTGTTGGATGTTGGTATTAAAACAATCAACTCAGAGCTGTGCAGTGTTTTGGACAAGTAATCCCACGTGGCAGATTTCACAGTTGGCTTTCTGTTGGAGGGAAAAAGGAGTCAGCTAAGTCTTTTTCTGAGCTGCTGTTTAAATTTCTTTGGACTCACAAGAAAATAAATGTTTGTGCTGTTGAAGTTTTCACAAGTGAAGGGAAAGAATTTACCCTAAATTCAGAATTTGTTTTCAAAAATGGAGGTTAAAGTACAGTAAGAGTGCAGCAAGGTGCAGTAATGGGTTCTCTGGCTTCTAAGTTAAAAACTTTTGCTTTTAAATTCTGTAGAGACCCTGCAATATTTATTCTTATCAACCTAAAGAGTACTTACTTCAGGTCTGGAGGGGAAGGTTTAGATATGCTTTCCTTACACATAATGCAATCTTGAAATATCTATGACTGTTTCAGATCTATGAGCTTCGGGTAATGGAGACCAAACCAGATAAGGCTGTGTCCATCATAGAGTGTGATATGAATGTAAGTTAAAGCTGATGGGGAAAGCCTGCCTTAACTGTCCTCCCAAGAGGGGAAGGCAGTGATAGCTCTGCACACCCAGCCCAGCTGATGCTGCAAGAAAGGTGCAATCCATGGGGTGGGGAAGATGACTCACTTGGGAGTACTCATGTGCCTTTGTAACCCCTTCTGTGATCCCGATTAGTACTTCATGCACCATCAGGTGACTACCATGCCTAGAATTTAATGTTTAACTTTGGCATGTTTTATCTGAGTTTTATTTAATAGCCTTGTCTTGACTCACACTCCAGTGATATTGTGGAGCTGTTTTACTGCTTTGTTTCCATTACATGCTAAGGTTAATTCCTAGTAGGCTTGGTCCTTTTTTAGTTCTGAGTTAAAATGTTTAACAACCAAACCTTAGTTCTTTTTAGCTCAAACGCAGTGGTAATAGTTCATGAAGTTTTGAGGAATAGTAGTATAAAGCTTATGATTTAAAGAAAAATATTAATAATGGGTTTTTTCATGCTTCTTGTGTAAATAGGTGGATTTTGATGCTCCTTTGGGATACAAAGAACCAGAAAGAAGTGCACAACATGAAGAGACCGCAGTATGTTAAACTTTTGTTCTTCCAAAATGCATCCCCTAGAAGTCACTGTTGACTGTGGGGGAAGTGCCAACATAATTTTTTTTTTTTATTTAAACAAGTTCTGTAGAGTAAATTTTACTTGCCAGAAGCCTTTGCATGTGTTACTTAGGGGACTGGTGTTTACCAACTGTTGTTTTAAGAAAGTGTCTTGGTTTGACAAGTGATTGTTCTGAAGTTTTGTTTGGCCAGAAATACTTGGAACAGTTTTCATGGCATGTACATGTCAGAACACAAACAACATGAACTTGTTTTTCCCCTCACAGGATGTGGAAGCAGACCACAGTGGGTATGTGAGCGATATAGGATTTCGCGTAAGTGCCCTGTTTCTGCTGGTTTCTGAATCCTGTAAAATGGTGAGGGAAAGTTGCTCTGAACAACTGCAAAATATCAGTACCTGTTCTTATAGATGCTTGTTATTTAACTGGTAAGTGCCTGTGAATGTTTTGTGTCATCACAGCCAGGAGCAGCATGAATTGTTCTCTGCAAAGGGCAGATGAGAGGTTGAAACAGACTCCTACACCCATGATTCATCAGCTTATATGTACCAAAAAGAATCATGCTGAGTTAAATAACTAAATAAAAATTGCTGTAAGATTTTACAGATATAATGTCCTTGTGAAGTGTGCTTTCAAATGCCAGGAGTTCAATTAAAACTGATTATGTATCCACAGGCATTCTCTGGATCTGGGAACAGATTGGATGGCAAGAAGAAAGGTGTGGAGCCCAGTCCCTCACCAATTAAACCAGGAGACATCCGAAGGTATCATTCACTTGTAAGCCAGTGAAGTATAGTGTTTGAGCAGAGTTTGGGTTTTTTTCCCTGCTTCTGTAATATAAACTAACTAATTTTGTCATCAGTTTGCCTTAGAAAATAAAGTCTTTCTTATCCACAGGCTAGTAGAAACATACATGTGGACAAGCTTCCACAACAACTCCAGTATTTGATTATTTACTTCTGCAATCTGTGCCTATCTTCAGAAAATAACTCAGTGCTTTAACTCTGGAGTTATTTAGAAATGAAAATGTGCAGTCAGTGTTGGTATTACACTGACAGACACAGAGTAGTTGTCTCTGTGTCCAGTTCAGAATAGGCCTCTCTGTGGCAAATTCAAGAGTATAAAAACATAATGTTTTTATGCTTCTTTTCCAGAGGAATTCCCAACTATGACTTCAAGATTGGTAGAATCACATTCATTCGGAATTCACGTCCACTGGTCAAGAAAGTGGAAGAGGTATATGAAGTTGTATCCTCCCCAGTTTTGCACAGAATTAGAACATTAGAACTAAGATGCAAGTCTGGTCCCTCTGTCTTTCCCCTTGATTTTTTTACAGCATGCTTCCATTAAAAAGTGGTAGTAGTTTAGAATGGTTTGAGTCATGTGAAGCAACCTCTGATGTCCTTGTTACTGATTGGCCTGGTGTCAGTTTATTAAGCCAGTTGGCTGAAAAGTCACCAAAATGCTACTATTTTATTTTCAGAAAGTGCTTTTTATCTAAATTAAGGATGTGAAATGTCTACACTGAGTGGCTGCTCTGATGGAGCATTCTTGCTAACAGTTGTTCAGCTTTCATCATACAAAAGCAGTGAGCCAAGAGGTAAAACCTTTTTTCCCTTTCTTTTTTCCAGGATGAATCTGGAAGCCGGTTTATTGCCTTTTCAGGAGAAGGCCAGTCCCTGCGCAAAAAAGGAAGAAAGCCCTAAGTTGTGGTACCTTCAGCTAGTTAGGGAGAAAATAAAATAACAGGTGCAGCATCTTGGATCTTAGTAATTGCAGTTGAGAGATTGTTTTGCAACACAGGAGCACTTAACAGGTGTTTTGGTTTCGGTTTCATGTTTAGATCTGGAGCTGTCAGACTATCTTAATTTTCAGCTGAAAACTAAGTTCTGGGAATTTGGAAGAAGCTTTGTGTATGTGTTGTAAAGAAGGGAATGCAGATCTGTGGTAAACCTGAGAAGCAGAACCAACAAGCTCTACCTTATTAAGGGTCCAGTTAGACTACATCTTCCCCTCATCTCCTGAGTTATGATGATCTCACGTTGCTCTGTGCTTGGTATTTTCCTCCCTTTATATATATTTTGCCACAATTTAAGATCAGCTTTTTGGTGTGGTGCAAATGAAGGGTGACTTTGGTGTTTAGGATTTTAGTGCAGGGAGTTTCTTTGAGCTTAGCTTCAGGTGTTGGGTTATTAATCATTCTAAGCAACCCCCCTGTAATTGCTTTTTATATTTATAATTAATAACATGCCTTTTAATAGTTCAAATACTATAACGTAGCGTAGGAATCTCGTGGCACGTGTAGGGAGAGGAGGGACGCAGCTGTACTGCCCGCTTTGGAACGGTGCGAGTGTATCCTGTGCGCCCTCTCGTTTGCCGGCGAGCGTACCCGGGTGCAACCCTGCGTAGTTTTTACTCCTCCGAGTAAAGTTCCTCGTTCCCAGCCGCGTCCGTGTGTGGTGATTCCGGCCAGGCCGAGGGCCGGCCCGGCCTGCGCTGGTCACGTGCCGCGCAGCCATTGGCTGCCGGGCCCGGGGCCGCTTTGTGCCGCCGCTCGCCATTGGCCGCGGCTGCGGGCGCCGCCGTAAGCGCGGTGGCCATTGGCGGCGGGCAGCATGGCGGGCACGGGCGGCTCCTGGCGGGTGAGCGGGCCGGGGGGCGGCGGGGCCGGGGCCGGGGTCGGGCGGGACCCGGTGCGGCCCGGCGGGGCTCGGTGCGGCCCGGCGGGGCTCGGTGCTGCCCGCCCATGTCCGTCCGCAGCCGCCGCGCTCGTGCGAGGACTACTGGGGGGAGTGGAAGCACTGCCGCGGGCTGCGCCACGCCTTCCACCACTACTACGCGCACGGGGAGCTGCCGGACTGCGGCCGCTGGCGGGAGGACTACGAGGCCTGCCGCGCCTGGGAGAGGGACCGCGCCGCCGCCGCGCAGGTACCGGCCCCGGCCCGCTCCCGGCCCGCCCGCGGCTCCAGGGCCGCCGGGACCGAAACCCCGCGGCCGCGGGGCTTGGGGAGGGTTTGGGAAAGCAGGCGCCGGAGGTGGGCAGGTTAAAGTCCAGTGGAGGATCCAGGGAGTGTTTTCAGCTGTAAATACTCTGACGTTTCCGTCCTAAAAGGAAAACCCGCCACGTTACAGGGAAAAGGAGTTGCCCCTGGCTCCAGCCCCGCGGACACTGCGCGACACCAGCCCTGCGGCACAGGCTCCGCAGGGTTCCACAGCAGTGCGAGTTTCCTTTGTAACTTGAGAGCCAGAGGCAAAATATAAATATGACTTAGTTAAAAGCTTGTATTCTGGTTTACGTAGATAACATTTAGCACTTCTGCTTAAGCATGACAAATTTTTATTTCTTTTATCTCAGTTATTCAGAGTAGGAAATCAGCTCTGTATAACTGGAACATCTAGCACTATTATGATAATATTTTTTTCCTGTATTTCAGGAAGCTTTGTGCAAGAGTGAAAGAGCTCGAGTTATGGAAAAACAGAAATATGCTCCAGTGTGGAAGCTCAGGAAGAGCCCCCCACCTGACTGGTATCTACCACTTGACCATGACAAATCAAATTAACAAGACTGTTTTCTGTGTTTGGTTAGTAACATAATACACAATTCAGAATTATGCTGAACTTTTTTTTTTCCTTCCATATCATCTTGAAGTTATTCAACTGTTGCTCTGCCCTACAATACTTTAGCACTCGCTTAAAAATTCTGAAATTTTATTTAAGCCCTGAATATTTTTAAAGGGAGATTTGAGGTGCTTAATTTGATTGTGGGCTTTTACTGCTGACTTACACTTCAGGATTTCATCTCGGCAGGCATCTTTCAAGATGTCTTTCTAGCTCTGAGGGGCTCTTGCTCTACCAGCTGGCATTGAGCACTTCTGGAAAAAGGTACTCACCCCAGGCCTGCCAGATGGGGGAAAAAACCCAAGCTGGGACTGTTCCTTGCAGGCTCAGGACAATCCCAAACACTGGCATTTAAAAGACACTTTCCAGAATCAGGGCCGTGGTAGTTGAACAGCTTTTCACCTGTGGGCTGCACACCCTGAAACTGCCCCTCTGTGGAACTGCTCTTGATTGGTGGTGTGTGTTGTGACAGTATTCAAAACTACTAAAAAATAAAAGTTTAAGTGAATGTACAGAGAGATCTGGTTTGTATTAGGGCAAACAACAGTTACATGGCAATATAAGAATTTTAAAATTGGTTTTGCCACTGTGTAAGGTTATGTAGCTTTGCTAGGTGTGTTATTACCTGGATAGTCATTAAAACAGAGATACTTCATTTATTTTTATTTACAGTCATATCCTGCAGTGTTGCAACCTGCAGGAAGAAGTGTTTATTACTCCAATCTTTGTTCCTTCAGTCGCTGAGCACCTCGTGGCAGCTGAAGCAGGAGCTCCCCTGTCACTGTGTGTACACCTTGGTGATGTCAGTGCACTTTCCTTCCGGGGGATCATAGCCAGGAAGGGGAGGGGTGTAACTGGGTCCGTCCCTCTGGAAGGGGAAGAGCTCCTCGTCCCTCCGGATTGCTGCCTGGTACAGCTCCTCAGATTCCAGCTGCAGCTCCTTCAGTGCCTCCTGCTGAGATTCTACAAGGGCTTTAATTGCATTCTTTTCTGCCTCATCTTGTTTCTGCTTAAACACACACCATTTCTTCAAAAGTAGAACTCTTCTTTCAGACTCTTCAGGAGAAAGCGCAGGAAGACTTCGCACCCTGATGAAGAGAAGGACAACATTGTAGTGGAGAAAAACAGCCTGACTCCAAAACCAAACTAAAACCAGAAATCCCACCACCAGGCAAAAAATCCCCAGCAAACCCAGAGAACACACTGAATTCACTAATAATGTGGTCAATTTGTGAGGACTTCCAGTCACTCTAACAGGAAATGCACTGGTTTTCATTATTTTTTAGCAAGAACAAACAATATTTCCTTTCCACATTTTTGGCCTGATAAAAGTGGGTATGGTTTTGTACCAAGGCTAGCACCATGTTGCAGTTGTACAGAGAAAAAAGTTCACTGTGGGTGCAGGTGCATGGTGAGAGACAGACCCACTGACCTGTTGCTCTCTGAATACTTCAGTGGTGTTATAAAATCCTCAATTGGAATCAGTTCTGGGGCAGCTTTTTCCAACTTTTTAAGCTTTTTCTTCATACGCTCCTTCTGTGCTTGCTCTTTCTTCACATCCACTTTCTTTTTCTTCTTTGGTTGTGCTCTACAAGGAAAATAGCAAATGAAAGAAGATATTTTGTCCTTTAATTCAACACCAACAACTTTCATTTTCTTTTCCATTGCTTAATTTGTCCCTGACACGAGTTCCAGCCATTAGCTTTATTCAAGTAATACAATTTCCAGGAGCCAGTGACAGGTCTGCTGAGATTTTCTATAGAGAGAACTGCAACTGCCTAGGAAAAGCAATTTTGTGTGGAACATCAGAATAACCTGAGGAGATTCCACAAAAAAAAGAATTGTTTTAACTGGCTCAGAGTGCAGCCTAGCAGGTCTGTCATACAAGTGGCTTGTGCTGGAAAGGACCTTTAGCCTCACATGGTTCTAATCCCCTGCCATGGGCAGAGAAACCTTTCACTAGACCAGGTTGCTCCAAGCCCCATCCAACCTGGCCTTTAATAAATATTCCTGTTATTTCACATTAAAGACTTTAAGTGGTTTTAGACATGCTTCTAAAATTTCTGCATTTGGAGCCAAGTTCAGGCTGTAGATGTTACTTCTCCATGCAGATCCAAGATACCATTGCACACTCTACAAAGTGACCCTCATTCCTGCCTGGCAGACTGAACAAACGGCATTTATGGTGTGAAACAGTCCCCAGGTATTTTAAATCAAGCTGCAGCAAAACAAAAGACAGACACTGAAGCGTTGTACAGAAATACACATAGGCTGTCTCTGCCTTCACAGCAAAGCATTTCTGGTTCAGCCAGGCTTTCACTGGTGCTGCCCAGCAGGGAATTCTGGAGCACTGCATGAATCCCCACATTTCCAGCTGCGTTCTGTAGTTCTGCTCCCCACAAGCACAAAGTGGTAACTGTATCACCCCTGAGCTCTCCACAAGAGGCTGACAGTTCCCAACTGCTTTGGCATAGAGAGACTTAAACATGTACAGTTAAAGGTTAAATTTGTGTTCCCCCAATGGATGAGAACACTTCTGTGTAACTCCAAGAAAGCTGCACTCACCTCACAGGGAGGGATGTCCTGGACTCCAGCAATGAGCTCTGCCAGTGACTCCCTCGGAGCGGGCCCCTCTGGGGCAGCCAGGAGCTGCAGGAGGAAAAATAATATAAGGCATGAGGAGGAACTGGCTCTGGTGTCATTGATTCTGCACAGGAGCTGTTTGTTATTCACATTTTGCAGCGAGGAGTTCTGAACCATCTTCGGCCACTTCATTCATGGCAGGATACAGCGTTTGCCTAGAGATGACCTCACACCCTTGATCTAGGTAACTGATCCCTAAAATGGTGGGTGTGAGCCCACCAGGGTACCGAGGAGTGAAAGAGATACAGTTTTTGGATAGGTTATAGCAGTTTTATTTTTAAGCTCTGGCAATGACCCCTTTGAGGAGCTGGTACGGGAGAGGTCAGACCACCGCCATTCAGATTAGGAGAGCGATGCCGGCTGCGGTGTCTCTGCGGCAGTCACGGGAGAATGAACCGGGCTCAGCTGCCAGGGCACCGACTTCTCCAGGGGCAGGGGCCCAGCCCGGGACCGGCCCCAGAAGCGGGCGGGAGCGGGCTGGGCAGGCACAGTGGCTAAGGGGCGCTTCCCGGGCTCCCTCCCCGCGGTCCCGGAGCGCGGTCCCGGCCCTACCTGAGCCGGGCCCCGCGGAGCCCCCGCGCCGCCGCCGCCGCCGCCCACATGGCCCCGCGCCGCGCCGCGGGCCCGCCGGCCGCGCTCCGACCCCGCGTCCTCCGTTCCGGCGCACCAACGTTCCGGAGGGCGCCCCCCGCGGCAGAGCCCGCTCCGCCCGGCAGGGGGCGCCCGGCCGCGCTGCAGGGCGGGCGGCGCCCGGCGGGGGAACGGCGGGGTCGGGGGCGCTGTTTCCCGCCGGGCCGGTTAGGCGGTTGCCAGGCGCCGAGTTCCGGCGGTGCCGGATCGCCGGCGGCGCCGGGCGGGGGATGCGGCGGGGCGGCGGCACCGGGACATGGAGCGGCGCTGAGGCGGCTCGGGCCGGCCGGGGGCGCGGGCACTGCGGCGCCGGGCGCGGGCCCATGGTGGCCGGCCGCCGCTGAGCGCCGCGGCCGCGGAGGCAGCCCGGGCGGAGCCGCCCTGGGGTCCCGAGGGCGGAGGCCGGCGGGGGCCCCGGGCGGGGAACAATGAAGCTGCTGAAGCCGACCTGGGTCAACCACAATGGTGAGGCCGGCCGGGCTGCGGGTGCCGCGGGCCGGGCGGGCGGCAGGTGCCGCGGGCCGGGCGGGCAGGTGCGGCGGGGAGCGGCGGGCGGCACACGCGGGGGGCGCGGGGCGGGCGGAGCCTCGCGGCGCCGCCGGGCGCTCCCCGGGCGGCCGCGGGGCCGGAGCCCCGGAGCCCCGGGAACGGCGGCGGCGGCCGGCGGCAGCGGCAGCAACAAGTCCGCGCCGTCCCGGCGCGGGAGCGGAGCCGGGCGGGTTCCCGAGGCGGCGCGGGGACAGCTCGGTCCCGGGCCGGGGCCGGCGGGGACCCTGCCGCGGCTGCCCCGGGACCCGGCCCGGCCGGCTCGGCCCGTTCGCTGGGGACAGCCGGGCTCTGCAGGGAGGGCTGCGGGCTCCGGGGCAGCGCTGGGCTGATTCCGCCGGCCCGGGGCCGCTTCGCGCTGCTGGGAGTGCGGAGCGATGCTTTGAGTGGGGCAGAGCCGTGCAGAAGACAGAAGGAGTTTCGTGCGCAGGTCGAGGTCCCCTCGGGGTGAGTGGCCAGCATCAGGCGGTATCCAGTGCACGGCGCTGGCCACCCGGCTCCCACACTGCTGACACAAGTTCAGTATTAAATGTCTTCAAATGCACTGAGCTGTGCTGTCGTTCTCCACGGAGGAAAAAGTTTCTTCCAGCAGTTCTTTCAAAGCAACTCCCTGAATTTATATAGTGTCCTGCCTGCCGGTCCTCTGGTGATGTTGAAGAGATGTGTGAGCTCAAACAGCTTAGAGTGAGGTGTCGGTATTGACAGAAGGCTCTGTACTTTCCTTGTGTGTCAAATACAGGACAGCACCAGAGTTTATGTCATATCTACACTGCTTAGGACGAATTTCCAGATTAACACCTGTACTGTTCCTGGTGAAGCAGTGAGAAGAAATCTATCACAAAGAGCTCACTTCTGTTTATGCAAGTTTTACCCTCAGATTCATGGGTACAGCTTTATTTCAGCTGCAAATTTTATACTCTGTCAATGTATAAATGTCATTACCTGGGCTCATGTAGCTGATTGGTATCTACAGTAAAACTAAGACCAGGTTATTCAAGCTAGAAAAGTATGCTTTGAGTTTAAAACTCCAGGTAGAACTTTACAATTGCCTTTCTGCATGTGTTGTTCTTTGTGCTCATGCTGCAAATGTTAATAACAGTTTAAGCCTTGAGTTGCCATTCGTGTTGCATCTTTACTTGGCCTGCTCTCCAGGGACTCTATAGGCAGCAGATGGACTCAACCTTGTACCAAAGGTTGTAGTGAACTGAAAAAAATGTGGAAGTGCTTGATTTGAGATGTTTTTTTACATTTCTGCTTGGTTACTCTAAACAAATGTAGCATTTACATCTTCATCTCTGGCTGCCTGTGGTTAGACTGTCCTGTGCCTCTGCGTTTCTTCAGTAGGAGCACAGGAGCAGCTGAATAAAACCTTTCAGCCTAAATCCTTGGAGATCACAGAGATGTAACTTCTTTCCTTATTTTTTTAATGGGTGCATCTTTTTATATGGGTATGTATTTGAAATCTGTAGCAATTTAGAAAACATCCAACCATTGCAGAGCACAGGCTTCAGCCAAGCAGGGCTTCCTGTGATGATGGATAGTGCACTACACAGGGCCTCGATGGTCCTGGGTTTCACTCCCATTTCTGCCACTGACCTTTTAGCATGAGTTTAGCCAAGGCAGTTCATCATAAAAAAAACAGACACTGGCCACAGCTCCATTTGTGAGGTGCTCTCAGGGCTGCAGGAGAGTGCAGGACTGTGAGACAGTCACACATTGCTGTCCTTGGGGCAGGGAGTGCAGGATAAAAACCGGTGAGTTTAGTCAGCCTCTTCTAACATGCCTGGGTTCCAGATCCTCCAGGCTGCATGTCAGGAGTCCATCACTCCTCATGGGCCTTCCTCTTGGCTCTGAAAACTCTCCAGAAACAGGGTGAAGAGAATTTACACTCGGTGTGCTGCAGACTCTGTGATAATTCTTATTCCTTTGATTTCTGCACAGGCACATGGGGCTGCCTCCCTGTTCTTGTTTGTATCAGGGGTGGCTCTTCCACACAGCAGATCCAGCTGGTCATTTCAGCCTTTTCCTCTTCCCACTCCATTTTGGGAGTTTTGTTTTACTGAATGGACTAGAATGATGCTTCCAGGCATACATTCTCCAGAGATAACAGACACTAGAAGTGAGTGTTATAGCCAGGAAATCCAGCACACCTGGGAATTGTGTGCTGCACAGCTGAGATGCTGCGTGCTTATGGTAAAAGCACTTCAGCACATTTTGGCTCTACAGGTTTTTGCCTTGGAGTTGTTAATGTCACTTTTTCCGAGTGCTTATTGGAATTATTTCTTGCTCAGATACATTTTCTATGAGCTTTTCATGTACTTAATGTGGGTTTATTAGATTTTGCATTAAATTCTCATTGTGTTCTTCTCTTCCATGTGTCTTTGACTTAGAGCAAGGAAGAATATTCAAAAGTGCAGTCTAGTGGAAGGGGTGAGAACAGATGACTGTAAGATACAAGTGGTGGGATTGGCTTCTCTGTCCCAGTGTTGCATTCAGTCCCTCTGTACAGATGCATCATGCATCCAGCAGCTGCCTGTACATACTCAGCACTCAGGGTTTTGAGAGCCCAGGTGCTTCAAGACAACTCAGGCAGGCAAACACTGATTCCTGTGGGAAAGGAAGTCCCTTGCTGTTCCAAGAAACCCTTGCAAGCCCCAAGGTGCTGCTCATGTATAACAACTTGTGGAAACTGGAGCCTGCTTTTGTTTAAATATAGGCATGGAGTTTATCTCTCCAAGCTGTAATGGTGGAATGTAAATATTTGAATTGATTTGTGAGTCACATTGAATGTTATATATGAGATGGGCTGGAAGCAGATTGAATAGAAATCCATTCATTTTGAGGCAGAAATTCAGCTAAAATTGTTCTTATGTTTAATTGATTATTGTATAAAGTTAAACAACAAACAAAAATGATGCAATATTTAAAATTGCTTTTATGCTTCACGGGAGTATTTTTTTTTTAGGATGGGACCTTCTCCTTGGGTTTCAGTTATCTTACTTAGATCGTTTTGTTCCAAGCTTGTTTCATTATCAGTATTTCTTTAAGTACATAATGTATATTTGGGTCCTTTAAACAAATAAGCCCACAGGACATCTGGTATATCATAAGGTGTTCTGTTTTTAATGAACCTGGTTTGCCTCCTCCTGCAATGTGATTCTGGGAGCTTCAATAATTTAAGCTTATCTTTTTTTAGAAATTATTGCAAGAGGTCAGAATGTCTTAAAGATAATCTGTGTTAGATTTTAGTGTTGCTGCTTAAATATCACATTTTGTTTCGGTGCATCCTTACTGTTGGGAAACTCAGCACATCTCCAATTAGGAGCATGAGAAAGCTTCAGTCACTTTGAAGCAGAGACCATGTATCTTTTGGTTTGTTTCAGCAGGAACTAACAACATAATCTGATAAAGACATGGACCTGGGGAAGAAGGTGATTGCTATCAAATAATGGCTTCTTCTTCATTATTTTGAGAAATTGAAGGAAGTGAAGAAAAACCCAGTATCTGTGCTCAATTTGTAAACCACAAGTAGCATGGAACGAGTCTTATAGCTTTAACCTGTTGCAGTTATCCAGCCCTGTAGATGGCATTGTCTTGATAGTGGTACCCTGGAGGAAAGGCCTGGCAATGTGACCACTTCATCTGTTCTTAGTTTTATTTTATTTTATTTTATTTTAATTTAATTTAATTTAATTTTATTTTATTTTATTTTATTTGTAATTGGACATTGGGTACTGAGCAGATCATTGTGTATCTTTAGTTACCTGTGGTATAAGATCACTTCCTGGATCACAGTTGAGCTATGTAGGAAACTTTGTTGTCCAGGGCTTCATTTATTACTGCTGCCTTTCCTGGGTGCAAAGTCCATACCCTCTTTAAACTTCACATATAAAATAATGCCCTGTGACCTGACAACTTTCACTGAGGTGTGTATTTTTAGGATTATAACCATTTATGAAAATTTACTCAGTGCTTATTTGGTTGAACCCCAAATTTATGCTAGGAAAAACATAAAAATAAAATGTTATCCTGCTATGTAAATATATGGATAATTTGTGTTTGAACACATGGTCATCAATGCCAATTCCATTCATGTCATAAAATAGAGGAGAACTGAAGTGGCTTGGAGTGACCAAAATGAGCAGAAGTGTGATGTCCTTTGTACAAGGAACAGTTGAGTAGAGTAGGACTCTTTGGGCAAGCAGTGGGGTCATTGGGCTGGGAACATCATGAACACAGTTAGGAGTGGCAGAAAAGGTATCAGTGTTGAGTGATTTCCATTCACTGCCCTTCTCTAGAAGAATTAATTGTGTTAAAGTAGCAAATAGCTGGTACAGATCCATGGAGTAGGAGGTTCCTCACAGAGCCATGGCTGAGCAGTGGATCTCTTTGTGTAGGGGTTGTTGAATTGTAGATCTGAGAAATGGCTGATTGAATTTATGGAAGAAAGTCTATTGAGGACCCCTGATTCAAGAAGTCAGAAGTGTAATTTCTTTGGCATTGGAAGGTTATGTTAGGAAGAAGCATTGTGTGCTTACCATTGTACAGATCCTTAGGGACTTATCTAGTGCTGGTTTCTGAGCACAGAGTACTGGGCTTGGTGGACATTTTCCCCGGTGTGGCTAATTTTAAGTTTTTATGGAGAATTTGTAGCTAAGTTACCTCAGGCTCTCTAAGCAAAGTAATTTGCAGAGTTTCTTCAACCCCATCAGTGGATCTGTGAAAAATCTTTGCCCAGAAGAAGGGAGAGGGCTGCTTTTGTAGAGTTGTCCTCTCAGGGCAGAAATTGGAGAGGCTGTGGTAGTTTTAGGCATGCAGTAAAAGAAAGGAAAATTGTATCATGTCAGTAATTTTTGCAAAGCAATGAGTGCAATGACAATTTTTTGGAATGTGTAGCATATCTACTTTGCCTGAATAGTAATGCTGGAATGGCCAGGTTGCTGTTCTTTCTGATTTGCTGGGAAAGTTTTCTCTTGGTGCCAATGATACAGAGGCAAAATGAGCCAGGTTATTGGAATTCAAAGGCCTTTGATAGCTGGCTGCCTACTCTCCCCTACACATCTAATGGCAAATACCAGAGTATATGAGCTCTTCTTGCCCAAGCCTTGATGCAAATTGAAAATGTCACCTCTTTCACATCTAAGTCTCCAGAATGGCCTTTTCACTAAGTTTCAGTGGGCTCAACTGTCTCAAATGATGAACTGGTTTAATATAAGGAACCTTCCACATTTTGGAAAGGGTAAAATAAATGTTTGTTTCTTGTTTGTGCTTCTCTAAATATTCAGCTTAGCCCTGAGTGTTGCATTTGAGTTAATAGAGTAAAAGCGAGAATCAGGCACAACAAGCTGAAGAGAAACCACAGCTCATGTGTGTCTCAGCTCATGTGTGCTATGTGGTCTAAAGGACTTGGAAGGAATGTAAGTTGAGTGCCATCTTTCTGTGCTTAAGGTCTGCTTGGCTGCCTGTAAAAATTTTCAGGGAAGTCACATGTCAGACTTGCAATATAAATCCAAATAAAACAATCCTTAAAACAAGTCAACATAAAGGATACAAAAGTCAAAATTAAGCCAAATGTGTATCCCTTGAAAAGTAAGAAATAGTGGGTATTTGGATGAGGATTTTATTAGGAGTTTAGCATCAAGGTTTCAGTTGCTACAGTTGGACATAAAATTTGCTATTGGACAAGATCTCCAGGTTTTATCATTTATGTCTTAACATCTCATGAAGATGTAATACAAGATTGACACTCATGGGAAATTTATCAAGTAATCGTAGTGTGTGGGTACTAGTACTTTTGGCTGTTTGATAAATTGCCTTATTTTGTAGTGGCATATATGTGATCTTGCTTGCAGAGGCATTCCAGTTTGAAAGGGTTGGAAGTGCTGCCAGGAATTCTTTGGATGTGGAAATCGCATGCGCGTTCTTTCAAATAATCCTTAGTGGAGCATCCCTGAAAGGCAGGAAGCTTGCTGCTCCCCTCTTCCTTTTCCTCTGCAAAGGTTAAAACAACTATGAACATATACAGAGTGAATATGAGACAGTGGTTGGAGCAGAACAGGTTGGAAGTGAGAGCTTTCTGGTTTCCAAAGCTGTTCCCAGCTACGTTGTTACAGAGTTTATATTCTAGTAAAATCATTAGCTTTCTTCTGAAAGATGTAGCATATAGAGAATTGAAGGATATCAGAGTAATACTATTGTTGGTTAGTCCTCCTTTTTCTATATGGAAGCCATAAAATCAAAAGTAGTCTTTGGGTAGAAGAGTTTTGTTAAGAGAATTGAAATTTGAGACAGGTAATTGTGTGACCAACAGATGCAGCTTGAGATTGGGAAGGATTTTTAAAAAACAAAAACAGAAGCCAAAAGAAGACTTGCTTCAGGTCATCAGCTAATGAACTGTAGAAACCTGGAAGAAATTCCATACTCAAATGCTGTTTTGCCTTGCTGGCACTTGCTTTGTGGTATTACTTTGCTTTGAGGTATTTGGCATATCCTGCTGGATTAAGTGTCCCTGGTTATTGCTGGTTTTTGTGGCATGATAACTTCCATACAGGTTTTTAATAGGCTGCCATTTCTGTCAGCAAGCTGCTCTCAGCTCTTGTAGTCAGCTGTAATTCTTACAATTCGAGACTTTAGAAGAAAGTCACTTGCCAGCAGAAGAGTTATGGTATTTCTGGTGTTACTGCATTCCCTTGAGTGTAAAGCAATTCAGTATGTTGCTGTTTGTTCTCTAATTCCAGGAAAGCCAATATTTTCAGTGGACATTCACCCAGATGGGACCAAGTTTGCAACAGGAGGACAAGGTAAGTCTGTGTACTGGTAAAATGGTAAAAGGCAGAGTTTTGGGTAATAATAATAATAATAATCTTGTGCCTTCAGAGCACTTGAATTGGTTTGACCCTTTTAAAAAGACATCACTTTTATCTCTAAGAAGCAGATAATTATGTAAGCTATGAAAATGTATTGGGAAGTGCTGCTGCCCCTGCAGAAGACAGGGTTACATGTTCTCATGTCCTCATCCCCTTAGATGTCATTGAGATAGTAGCTGCTATCAGTGATTGAGTTGTGACCATGTGGGCCAAATTTCCTTTTAATTTGAAGAGGAACTGGATGTGCAGTTGAGCTTTTTCAGTTGCTAAATAGTAGAGCTATTGGAACAGAAAAATCCAATTATATAAATAGAATAGTTTAAGAAATAGATACAAAAATATTACTTGGTTCACAATAGTGAATAATTTTATGTTGGCTACAATAATTGTAATTTAGTATTTGAAATATGTATCTTTTCTCTTTTAAAATACAATTTTATTACAAATAGTTGTCCTTATAGTTGGTATAAGTTATGTACAGTATGACTTTTGTACAAAGTTGTATAAATTTATCTTTAATAGCTTCAAGAAAAATAAAGCACTTCTGAATAGGTCTAATTATATCAAAGCAACTTCTGTATCCAGATATCTCCAAAGTCCCCACTGCAGTAATGCCTACATTTTCACATCTGTTCTGGAACTGAGATTGATTTGAAAAGATTTTTTGGATGTATTTAGAAGAGGGAGCTTTTTGGTGTCTTACAGGTCAGGATTCTGGCAAAGTTGTGATCTGGAATATGGCTCCTGTCCTGAAAGAGGAAGATGAAAAGAATGAAAATATCCCCAAGATGCTTTGTCAGATGGACAATCACTTAGGTAACAAAGTTGGTTGGTTGGGTTTCTTCATTGCTGACTATTGGTAATTTGCCAAAGCTTAAGACTTACATGTCTGTAATTACAAAAATAATGCCTGTCCAGTGGTGAAGAATTAATAAAATACAGCAGAGTGGTCTCATACTTTGGCTGTATACTTTTCAAGATATTCAGCAGAAAATGCTGTTAAAATGTGAGGAAACGTGCAGAGGACTACAGATACCTTTGGAAATCTCCTCCCTATAAGCTTTTATCAGCTGTGGCCATTAAAGTATTTGACAATGAACATTCTGAGAAACTGTAGAGCTCTGAAGGAAAGGACAGAAGTAAATGTAAAAGATACGTCATATGAAGTATATTGGTTATAGTTACAAATTATTAAATTTATTACATTATAAATCATTGCATTTGGAATTAGTAGGGTCACTTGACAAGTTGTCCCTTCTTTTCTTCAAAATATTCCTTTCCTTCTTTGCCCTCTTAATCCCTCTTTATTTACCAGAATAAGTTTCCTTCATTAGGGGAATAATCATCTTTCTTCCTTCAAGTCTTTTTTGGTGAAGCTTTTTTAGATAAGGAATAGAGTTTTTAAAGTAAGAAATTCCTCAACTGCTACTGAAAGATAAGTACCAATTCATTTATCTAAAGCAGACAGAGTAACTGCTTTGAGTGGGAAAAGCCCCCTTAAATCCTATATGTCTCCTGACAAGTTTTGCTTATTTGTAATATAAATCCTGTCTGCAGTCCAAAACCACTTATTCACAAACTTCATCTTGCAAACTTTCCTTTCTCCATTTCAGCTTGTGTGAACTGTGTGCGATGGTCAAACAACGGCGTGTACTTGGCTTCGGGGGGAGACGACAAGCTGATTATGGTGTGGAAGCGAGCTGCGTAAGCATGGTTCTTCCTTCAGCTCTGTATTGCATTTCAAGGAGGTTACTCTGTGACATCTTAGTGCTTCCTCCCTGTGCTGCCCTTTGCTAAGCTCAGTGCTCCACCTGGTGTGGAAAGAGCTGGGACACGGCAGTGGTGTTGGAGATGTGGCCTGCTGTCCTTTGGGCTGCAGGGTGTCTGCCTGGGGAGTCTCTCTCCTCTGGAGGAGCTGAGACATTTTCTTCTGTCCTTGAAGAAAACTTCCTGGTGAGACTTGAAGAGTCACTTTAATGTTACCATTTTATGCTATCTATAGAAATTCTACATTTTATTGAAGCTAATTTTTTAATAATTGGAATTACTCTTTCTACAAAAATGCTTTTTTTTCCCCCTTCTGTATCTTAGGAATAACCAACTATGAAATACAAGTGTACTGTGCAGCTGATTTTCTTTTAAAAAAATGAAGAGTTTGTGTTGGTTCCTCTTATAACTGTTTCTATTTTAATTAGGTACATTGGACCTAGCACTGTGTTTGGTTCTAGTAGCAAACTTACTAATGTTGAGCAGTGGAGGTGTGTGTCGATTCTCAGAAGCCATTCAGGGGGTAAGTTTCAAGGTGTTGAATGAACATAATTTGCATGTATTTGGAAAAAAAATGTTTTTCAGCATCATATTTTCTTGTTTGAAATATACATATTTTGTGGCAAGTCAGTAATTAATTTTAAGAGCAACAATGAAAATGAAAAAGAATATTTTAAAATGAAATACAATTTTCATACAAGTAAATTCTGGCAAGTATGGTATGTAGGAGAAAAATTAACAGCTAAGAAACTTACATTTTGTTATTTTCTAGCTTAAAAGTGAATCTGAATAAAGGAAGCTAAACTGTGTCTTTTAATTAAATGTTCACACTAGCAGTGAATAATCTGATTGGCAACAGACTATGTTTTTGCAAACCAAAGAATATAAATGTTTTTTAAGAAGAAAAATATCTGATTTTCTGATTACCATCAATCTCTTAAATGGAAACTTCCTTTTCCCAAACAGATGTGATGGATGTAGCATGGTCTCCACATGATGCCTGGCTGGCATCCTGTAGTGTTGATAACACTGTTGTCATCTGGAATGCTGTCAAATTCCCAGGTGAGAGCTCTAAAGATGTGCCAGCATGTAAAGCTTTGTGACTAAGTCTTCCCTCCTTGGGTGTATTTCACTGACTCTTCAAATCTCGAGGAAGGATTGGGTTGTCTGTCTTCTGGGGTGACACATCTGCAGTCTGGCAGGTCAGTCCCTTTTCCAGGTTTGGATGGCAGTGAGCAGGGGATTCCACACTGCTGCAGACAGCAGCTGTATTCAGGTTGTGCTGCTAATTTTACAGAAAGTCATGATTGCTTGTGTTTACATGTTTACATGCCATTTATTTTAAGCTGGCATCCAATACTGATACCAGAGTTTTTAGACTTTGAAGCTGACTGTGCACCCTCTCAGCCTTTCCTCCCACAGGCTGATAAGCGAGAGTGTGACTGAAAGTAGGTTACCAGGTCTGCCAGCCTTGTGTGTCTGTTGAGTCTGTTGACTTGATTCACACTTGCTGCACAAAACTGGATTAGTTGTGATAATCTTTGGGTGTGGAGGAAAGGGTGAATGTTTAACTGAAATTCCAGTTCAGGTGCTGCTTTCCACAGCTTCAGAGTGCTACTCTGAAGCGCTGAGACTCTACTGCTCTGACCTGTCTTCTAAAAAGTTTTGCACCTGTTATTCCAGCTGGAATTCTCCTTACCACTTCTTTTATATCAGTTTTTTCTTAAGTACAGGTTTCAATTTGGTTGATATGTTGTTTCTATACTAAAGGAGGTTATACTTAATATGCTGTTCCAAAAAGATGTAAATTTTCTCAGCACTCTGCCCTGAAGGACATAGCGGTAACTACTCTCTATTCTCACTTTCTGTGTGCACAGAAATTCTTGCCACTTTGAAGGGGCATTCTGGCTTGGTGAAAGGGCTGACCTGGGATCCTGTTGGAAAATACATTGCCTCTCAGGCTGATGATCGAAGTTTAAAGGTGTGGCGGACCATGGACTGGCAGCTGGAAACCAGCATCACAAAACCCTTTGATGAGGTACTTCAGAATGTGTGACTGCTCAAAGTGAATTCCCTTAGAATGAATGAAAACTGGAAGAATAACTCTGATTCTGCACAAGCATGAATTAAACAGTGCTGCATCAAATAAAGCTCTCAAATATCAGCTACAAAAGAGGGATAAAAAAGAATTACTTTCTCATAAAAATATGATTGACTAGAGACTCTTATTGTCATTTGTTATTGTGGATATGAAAAGTTTACATGAGTTATATAAACAATTAAGTAAACTTCTGAAAATTTAGTGGTTATTCTGGGGAAGTGTTTGCACACTGATCACAATAGTCTGACATTCTTCCCTATGCACCTTCTGTTGGCCACTATCAGAAATAAGTACTTAGGAGGGGTCTTTGGTCTGGCATCTTAGGGCTGTTAGGTGATGACTTTGATGAAAAGATCAAGTTCCTGGGGACAGAAGATGGTACTTGGTGAGTGGAGTGTTCTGCATTGATCTGAGGGTATTGTGATTAGTGCAGTTGCTCTTTGTAATAGACCTTGTCTGCTTCAACTCAGGTGGGAGCTGATGTGGCAAACTGAAGTCTCATCAGTAGTGGTTGTTGTGTTGCAGCCCTGTTACTAACTAGGACGGTGATAACTACTGAGGAAACAGTATCCAAAAAGATGTAATATTTGTCTTTCCTTTAGAAAAGTTCTCTGAGTTCCTTTCCCCACGCTTTTTGATAGGGTTTCTTAAGTTACACTACATCACCTGTGTAAACATGGCCAAATGCTGAGAATTGTGTGTGAGGTCATTCTTTTATATTCTCAGGATACTTTGTAATCATAGTCCCTAAATCTGAAAAGTTTGTCTTACAACCCCTTTGTTTGCCAAACACTTTTAAAGCTCTGGTATGTTTTTTTTTTTGGTCAGTGTGGAGGGACAACTCATGTGTTGCGCCTTAGCTGGTCGCCTGATGGTCACTATCTTGTTTCTGCTCATGCTATGAATAATTCTGGACCCACTGCTCAGATCATTGAGAGGGATGGATGGAAAACCAACATGGATTTTGTAGGGCACCGGAAGGCAGTTACAGTAGTGGTGAGTGAGTGATAGTAATAATTTATCCCTGAAGTTAAAACCTGTTGCTTTTTGATAATTTTACGTGTAAATGGGACAAGAGGTGAAGATGGATGTCAACATTAGTAAAGCAAATGCATGATGGTGATTTAAAAATGTCAGCTTCACATGTTGGAAGCAATAAGGTGGCTGTTGTGATAAGAGAACTGGGTGTAGATGAATGAGACAAAGGGGAATACAGGAGCATGTTAGGAATGTCAAACATCAGCTTTGTTGGCTGTTCAGTGACTTGATTAAAATTACCTAGGTTTCTAGTGGGTTTCTGATCCCTAGTAAAATTAATATTGTTTGTCTTTCCTGTGAAGGCATTCAGAAAACCCCTTAAGAAAGCCTCTGCAGCTTTTGTCAGTGCTCTTATAGAGTCTGGTTCAGGACTTCTATGAAATGTTCTTTCACTCTTAAGTGGAAAATTTACTTAGAAAGCAGATCTTCTGCTGAAATGTAATTACTGTGATAAAATTTGGGAATCTCATTTGTTCAGAAATTCAATCCAAAAATCTTCAAAAAGAAACAAAAGAATGGGAGCTCCACCAAGTCAAGTTGTCCCTACTGCTGTTGTGCTGTTGGTAGCAAAGATCGATCTCTTTCTGTCTGGGTAAGTGTCTTCTTTGCTGCCTTTGAACTAACATGGTCATTGGATAACTTGGGGGTTTAGACAAAGGTTACATCTTCAGCATTAGGTCTTATATTTAGCTTCATGTTTAGGGTTTTTTTTTTTGTCTTGTT